GGAACATGGTTATAAGGCTCCCTTGAATTCAAGATCCTTCCAAAATGTGTGAGAATTGTGTTGTTAATAAACAACATTGATCTCAATTATTGCACTCAAATATTTGTGGTCCAATAAATCCATCTTCTAATGAAGGTAAAAGTTATTTTACCTTTAAAAATAATTTTTCAAGAAAAACTTGAGTTCATTTACTATGGGTCAAATTTTAAACATTATCTGCATTCAAGATTTTTAAAGATCGAGTTGAATATAAGTATGAAAAAACATTGAAACCTTCCACATTAATAGTGATGGTGATATTGTTCAAAAAATTTAGAAAAATGTGTTTTTTCTTATCGAGAAACAATAATAACTTGTCCAATAAATAGACAATTACATAATAACCATAGAAGGACAACAATAATTACACATAACTCCACATAATTAAAAAATGAAAATTCTACCAATAATTAAGGAAAATGAGTAGACTAATTTTCTTAACCATCTTTCTCTTTATTAAATTGAAAATATTTAGTTCACCAACTTTTATATTTTTTATTAAGATTTTTTTGAGAGGATTAACATCACTATTAGGTTTAATAAAAATAAAATAAAATAACTATATAAGAGAGGATATGATTTCATCCTCAATCTAAAACCTTAAAAGATTAAAATTTTTTTGTCTTCCCATTTATATACTATTCAACTTCACTATTTCTACATTTTAATTAATTTTGAGTAGCTTTGATTGATCTATACATGTGAAAAAAAAATTACACGACATATAATAACAAATATTATAAAAATAATAAAAATATGGTAATGATTATATGATAAATATGAATAGTATGAGATTATATAATATAATATTGATTATAATTTGCTCATCATAGACTTACTGAAACACAAATTATATTTTATGTGATGAAACATAATGATTGATAAAATGACATGATAATAGTACTTTGAGAATAATATTTGTAATATAATAACATATGATTACATAATATGGTATTACTACATTCAGAATAATATATATATATATATATATATATATATATATATATATATATATATATATATATATATATATATATATATTATATGATGACATAATACGATGGTGTGTTGTTATGACATGATATTTGCATTCAAACCGGATTTAATGCATAAAGCATGTAATGTCCCATTTATTTTTTTTGAATTTTTCAATAAATGAAAATATATAATATCTTTATGAAATTTAAAATTGAATTTGTCCTCTGTTACACTTTTAACATAAAATATTTTTAAAAATGAATAAGTTAAAAGAAAAAAAATAGAACTTTGATAAAAGATTTAGAAAGAGAATAAAAGTTCTTTGATTCGTGAGATTGAGAAAATTTTTATCAAGTCCTAAAGTGGATGTGAAATATTTTTATCGACAATTGAATATTTTTGACAATGAAGTTGAACCTTTGAGCTTTATAGACTAAACTTTGAATTTCAATGGGGAAAGAGCAATTATGTATGATCAGATCCCGAATTAAGCTTTACCAACAAATGACATTATGATACTCAATTCAGTCACACTGAATCATAAATAAAAGTGCAATGAGTTATTAGAGAATAAGAATTAGAATGAGAGTGTTGTGGTTAAGATATATATAAATATTTAGATTAATATATTTTTTGATTAATTGTTCTTATTAATATTATATTATAGATTAAAATATTCTCGGAGTAGTAAAGGTTGGTGTCTCCATTATTCTCGGACTCAATACCTTGGCATCAAAATGAGATTATCTTATCTTAAAACTAACTCGCAACCCAATACTCATAAAATAAACATAGTTGTATAATTTTCTTAAAATTTATTTCAAATTTACACGCAAATATATGTTTTCTTTTAAATCACATTATTTTATCTTTTGAACCATATCTACTCTTTAACTCCAAATTCACTACTACAAAATATACTTTCTACGTCGTCATTTAACGTCAGTTATAGCTGAGACGTAAAAGTACTTTCTACGTCGGTTCCCGGATGAACCGACGTTGAAAGTTGAATATTAAACACATTCTACGTCGGTTTTTAGTCCACCGACGTAAAAGTACTTTCTACGTCGGTTCCCATATTAACCGACGTTGAAAGTCTTTTTTTTTCACCCAAAAATTCACTTAAATTTGAAAATTGTCATCGGCGTGATTCGAATTCAGGATTTTAGAATTGAAAACTAATATTCTAACCACTAAACTATTATAATTTTCTAATAATAACTTACAAATAAATTATATTTATATACAAATAAATATATATCCATGTAAATATATATTTATTTGTATATATTTTCTCGGAAAGTATTTTTATTTTTTTCATCCAAAAATTCACTTAAGTTAATGAATTGTCACTGACAAGCATTTGAATGCAGTATTTTAGAGTTGAAAGTTAATATTCCAACCACTAAATTACTATAATTTTTTGATAATAACTTACAAATAAATTATATTAGTATTTTTCGATCGAGGGTGAAAGTGAGATTGACTCTCGCTTGAGTAAAAATATGTTAAAGCTCACGGAAATTCACTCACTCAAGCCTCGCTTGAGCGAAAATTGGTATTTTTCGCTTGAGAGCGAATGACGCGTTTCCCAAATTTATTTTATATCATTATATAAATAAAATTATAAAGATTACATTCTGTCATTAAATTACAAACTCATATAAAGATACCTGCTCACAAATTTAGCATCAAATTTTGAAAACCCACTCGACATACACTTTCACTTTCGAGTGTGCCCTCACATCCAACATATAAATATATAACTATATAAATAATATCAAAATATATAAATATATTTGTATTTATATATTTACACGGATATATATTTATTTGTATATAAATATAATTTATTTGTAAGTTATTATCGGAAAATTCTAGTAGTTTAGTGGTTGGAGTATCGACCTCCAACTCTAAGGTCCTGGGATGGAGGACCTAATAAAAATATAATATAAAGAGAGGTGAGACTTCTAGATAAATAAAGGGGGTAAAAGGGTTGTAAATAAATAAAAATTATTAATTTAAAAAATCATACTTTCAATAAAGTTACGACTTTCAACGTCGCCTGATACAACCGACATTGAAAACTTTATTTGTAGTAGTGATTGGTGCATAAAATGATGGTATCATAGTGAACCTTAACCTAATCCCCTGAGATCATAGACTTACCAATTGAAGTAATCCAAAAAATATAAGCAATAGGTGTACTGATTTTGATTGGGAGGAGCAATACAAACCACTTGCTTTGTGCCTTGACTTGCTTCTTGGTTAATTAGGTTTTGGAACATTAATTTGTTAAAAACATTGCTTCTGGTGATTTTTATATGGATTCGTAACCCACTGTTAGTAAAAGAAAAATCGATACCAGGATCGGAAGAACCAGAGAGAGAAAATCGAAAATCATATAGTTGGTTAAAAAATTGATAAGACTGGTAAAAGACACCTGGTGACCACAAAGATAAAAACACATCGAGAATCAAAATCGAGAATCGAAGAAACAAATTTCGATGTCTATTGTTGAAGAGAATCGAGAAATTAGAATAGTGCAAAGTTAAGAATTAAAGGGAATCAAAAGCAATTCAAAATACTCGATGTCTGAAATCGAGATCGAGGGAGCGGTTAACACACACATGGAACATGGGAAACGGTTCCTAAACCGTGGCTGAGATCGAAGATCAAGGGAGCAGTTCTCTTATGCGTGAGAACGTGGAATGCAGTTTTTAAACTGTAAGACTAAGGGACGTGCACGTAGGATCGTGGTGACAGTTTTATTAACTACTCTTAGGAAGTTACTTGAAGGATGCTCTATAAATAGAGCGAAGACTTGAAAAAGAGGGCAAATTGGCAGAGACAACAGAAACACAAGTGAAAAAGTCTACCGGAGAACGACGAATCATGAAGTTTCTGGCGATCTGGGTTTCTATTTTCATTGATTGTCTGTATCGCTTTCTTTACTTTCCCTGGTAATTTATGTTCATGCAAGTTAATTTGATGCAAGTTTAAGTTCAGCAAGTTTAAGTTTCTGCACTTTCAATTCCTTGTTAGTTTACTTTTATGTAAGTTGAGATTCTGCGTTTAAATTCTTCGCTATTTACACTTATGCAATTTCGATTTCCTGTTATTTACATTTCTGCAATTTCGATTTCCTGTTATTTATATTCCTGCAATTTCGATTTCTCACCATTTACACTTAATGCAAATTTGAGGTTTCTGTTTTTTACATTTCCCTGCAATTTAACATTCCGCACTTCTTTTCGATTTCAACGTTTCTGTTACTTCGCATTTCTTAAGAAAAAACATCAAAAATAGTACTTTCTGTACTCAAGGTCATGCCGTTTTACACTATAAGATTCTCGATTCTCATGTATTTTTCGATTGAAAACTAGTTGCTAGCCTAAGTAAAAAGAATCTACATGGTTAAGATTTGATTAGAACTTAACTCCCGATAAATCGAAATCAATCAAATTTTCACCAGAAACAACATTATAAGATTCTCGATTCTCATGCATTTTTCGATTGAAAACTAGTTGCTAGCCTAAGTAAAAAGAATCTACATGGTTAAGATTTGATTAGAACTTAACTCCCGATAAAGCGAAATCAATCAAATTTT